ACAAATCCTCCTATAAAAGGCTGACAGGTGCTTTGCAACAAACACACGGTTTTACACGTTCACAAGCAATCATACACGTATTTTAGCTCTCAAACACACTTCCACCTACTCCGAAAATTTCCAAGTGTTCTGCTATTGTTCCAGTTCGCCGGGACTTTTGTTTGTGTGCTCAAACGATCGTTCGTTAGCCACCGTATCCTGGGAAATGGTCGTTGCAACGCTCCTAGCACCGTGGGAGGCGACGAATACGTTTTAAGGACACCGTGCGTACCACGAGCTCTGGCTAAAATCTGCTCCATCTTATTTCTATTTTTCTTTTAGCTATTTTATTTATTAATTAATTTTATTTAATTAATATTTCTTCGTTTTTCCGAGACACACCCAACAATTTGAAATCATTATATTTGAGTGGTGAATTAGGTGATGTTTGTAGTAACTTGATCGATATATACTTATGTTTGCCCGCTCGGTGGTTAGCGAGCGAGTATGCTTTTTATGAGTGTGTGACTCTATCTAATCGTAAGGCTTGTGGTTGGATCTGTAATAGGTGTTTGAATACATGTTCTCATTTTTTAATATAAGCCATCTATCATAAAATATGGAGCATGAGTGAGTTCGTGAAACCGAAGACTGAATGTCAAACCGTTAAAAGTTGAAGTGCAAAATACTTAAACTGATGAACTGAATCATTCTTTTTTTATTTCAATCGTGAACCTTACAAACCGAACAAATGTGCTTAAGATTTTTATTTAATACTCCCTATATTTCAAAATACTTCATCAAATTGTTTATCTTAATCAATAATAATAAATTTTGAAAATTGATTTTAGCTATTACGGAGTATAATTGTGTGAATTAATAACTTTCATACTGTTATAATTATACTAGTTCTTTACACGCGCATTGCGCGATAGGCTAAATGCCCAATATTATACGGGGTATATACGAAATATACACTTGTAGGATCCCCTATAAAAGTTCAAATTCCACAGAGAAAAAGTAAATATGAAGTAGAGTTTGAAATAGGAAGAAACATTACAAACACGAAAATGACTCAAAACTCATATATTTATAGTCATTTACCAAACTATGACTAAAAATCACAGGGGGAATCATGGACCTTTACAAATGCAACAAGCTACGAAACCGTAGCTTTTGATGTTTTAAGCAAACATACAATTACAAGACAATTACCTATTTTTTAAAAAACCGAAGGGTCAGATTAAAACAAAATCATAACAGTCTCGAAAACATAGCAGTCAAAAATGTAGAAAAGCATGATTCCACCAATCTCTTTCTCCAATGCCTGGGTAAAATGACAAAATAAGCAAAGAATTGTGAAGTATTATCTATGTTGTTTTTTTTGTAGGAAAAATCGTACAGGCTACCATTGTCATGCTTAATGTCTACTTCATGTCTTACCCGATGACGATGATAATAGAAGTACTGAACTGGTATAAAGGTACCAAGGAGTACACAACCACTTGCATCAACCAGCCATGGCATGTTTGGTCCAATTTTTTACCAATCCAAACTGCTGACGAATGCTAGCGACATATGTAATGTTTCCGAACAGTGCAAACATAAACATTAGTGGATTTAGCCCATCAACATTTCCCCTCCTGAAATTTAAACGAATTAGCGGGAGACGTCCGCCAATGTAAACGTCTGTCATTGCCCACCCAAGAACTGGTGCAACCCTATAATTATGGATGGATTGGCTATTAAGTGAAAATTCACCATTCTCATGTAGGATCTTTCTATCGAACAACAGGCCTCTTTCAGAATTTAAGGTAACATGAAATATGGCCCAATCTGTCATTGACTTACCCTCCTTCAATAAGAAAAATACTTATCAATTTACATGACACTTACGCTCTTCATAAATGGTATATGTGTTCTGAATGACTATAAGTAACTTTATATGAGATCAGAGAAATAAAAATGCATAAAAGATGCGCTCTGTGGATATTAAAATTATTCTTGTAGTTGAATTGCACAGGATTGTGATATAACACACAAACCTAGCTAACTATATTAAGAGCAATTTGTTTCACAGAGTTAGGAAGCCTATCTACTTCACTAATTGCGCTGTAAAAATTGTTTACAAATAAACATCAGTAGGGTAGACTCTCAGCCTAGCTAAATTGTTATTTCAAGATAAGCACATATTTATGGTTCACAAAGACTCTGATGGAAATAAGCAATGAAGGTGGAGAGCACATTACCACATTTTCAAATAGATTTGTGAAAATACGTTGTGAAAATATCATACAAAAATGTATACTAAACTGGAAGTAATCAAAACAATTAAAACGACTAAAAGAGTGTCATCTAGGTATTTCTACAAATACTTTATAGAGAAATAGCCAATGTGGGTGGTAGTCTGTTAGAAAAAATTATATACTCCGTATTTAGGTAGACTACTTTTAGAAGTTTATTACCATTCAAAAGATTTCAAAACTGGAATTCCAGGCAAACTAAGTCCATATTAGCTATAGGCTAATATGGGAGGCTTAGCTATTTTAACAGGAAATCGGCATAGTTGTTTAAGAGAGGTGAATACCATAACTCACACTTTAATTAGTTAAACATGACCCAGGTCAACAATGCTTAATTTAGTTAAACTTCATTGTTACGAAATATTTCATCTTTTGGCTTTATGTTATTATTTCTATAGAAAGGGTTTAGTTTGGCATTATTCTACTTGTAGCTTTGTAATCTAGTGTATTTTTGTACAATCCATTTTCACTTTTTGGTTGTTAGGCTCAGTCCTTATGCTATAAGATTTCTACAATGTTTGCATGAATTAATATGCTTTTATTCCAGAAAATAGGTTAGAAACCTAACAATTCAAATAGGTTTTACACCTTTCTAAAAGCTTCCTACAAGTGCAGACGTTATCTCGTAAAAAAGCAATAACGGATATGCAATAAGTGTCAAGGAAGCATCACACTCAAAGGGGAGCAACGTAGCACCAGAATCAAAAGCAAAAAGAAGATAAGTTTGCAGTTGTATCCAAAGAAGATACATTTAGAAAATCCAAAAGTGCTCTCCTTTCCATGTTGATTCTTGCATAGGGTTATCATTTGAAACTGGAGTACTTCACAGCTCATTTAGAGTAGCATACGAGAGTTAAATTACCTCCAAGTGATGGTATACTTCACAACCCATTTTCATGGCTTCTTTGGAACTGGCAGCTTGAACAAGGAGATTCACATAAACTCCTAAAAACCTATCAGAGATGCCACAAAATTTAATTATCGATTGCACACAACCAAATGGAAACAAAATGGAAGAGATGCAAACAATAGAAAATTTGTGTAAAGATAAAAGAAATTATTATTGTCACTACATTAGAAAACATATTAGAAGATAAGTAATTTAGGCTTATTGTATATATGCTTTGAGATATTACTCAAATCTAGTTAAAGCATACACTGCTTATACGTGTAGGAATTATATTAGTCAACCTGAGTAAAAATACACACTTTAATTAGTCGATCTTTTCTGTAGAAGTATATGTTTCACTGCTAACAATATCTATTTATGTATCCTCTGTATTTCAATTATGATGGCCTGGGGGCAAGGATGAAGGAGGTATATGATGTTTGAATGAAAATGAGTGTTTTCACCAGACTATGTGGAATGACTACTGATACGTTTGTAATTTCCATGTTTATGTTTGTATTTTTAATTAGCTTTAATTGATTTCTACCTTGGAAATTACACACTTTTGGTGTAATAGTTTAGTTTGTTAAATACTTGTAAATTGTTTAGATTAGGTTTATTCAGAGCTCAAACAGGTCTATGATCACTCAAAGGACAGTTGGTGAACCCCAAAAGTGGAAGGAAGATGTAAAATCACAAGATAAAATGAAGATCCTAATTTTTGGTCTATACCCGGTCGGGTATGACCTATACCTGATCGGGTATCTTGTTGAAATTTCAAATCGGATCAGATCCGAAGAAAAAGGAACATGCAGGGAAGATTTTGACCACGATCGAGTGTCTATACCCGACCGGGTACACCGACACACCCGATCGGGTATGCCTTCGATTTTAACCCTGAATTCGATCGGGTATACCTCGAATTTTAAGTTTAACACATACCCGGTCGGGTACCGTGTATATACCCGATCGGGCACCCAAACTGCATTCCCAAAATCCTATAAATACACCCCCTTCCCTTCACCGTGAGGTCACCAATTCACATATACTTCTAAGCTCAGTCTAGAATAGTTCTTTGTTTATATTTTCATCATGTTTAGTCTCCAAATGAGGAGCTAAATTCTTCCATCTTGGTTTTGCTACTTTGAAGCTTAATGAATTTGTAAGTTGCGGGTTATTATCTTTAATCTTCTTCCTTGAATATTAATTATTTTCTATTCATATCTCATATTAACATTTTGAGCATTACTTAAAGGATCAACTAGTTTTGTTTCATATATTAATTATTACTAGAATCAATCGATTAATACGCTTGTTATTAATTCGGTTTATTCAAGGTAGTAAACTTGGATTATTAATGCATGCGTCTCATGGTTAATAATCTAAGGAGAATTAATTATATTGATTAAACCAATAAACCGCTTGTGTTGAGGTTATCAATCTCAATCATTTTAATCTTGATTTTATTGCTACTATCAGGTTGATATACAACGTGTGTTCTATATTAATTCGGTAGTAAGTGTTGGAAAAATGTGTTAAAATTACATTAAATGGTCATTTTGGGGAAATTATTTGAGTGGGGTCCACTTCCTATTTGGGTCGGGTCAAAGTGGTTTCGGATTGTCCTTGTTAAGGGCTACAATTCGATATGTGGTACACTCAAAACGGATAACGGGTGAATGAGAAATTGATTCTCGAAGTTCACTCGTTGAAATGGAAAAACTGGGAAAATGATGGGTTTCTAGTGTGTTTTATCCCACACCGGAAAACTCAAGGGATTTTCACCCCCTTATAAAGGGAAGCCTCTTTTAAGAAGTTGAGATTCCTAAAGGTAAAGGCTCTCTCTTACGTGAAATTGATTCTCGAAATTCACTCGGTCTTGCTAGGTTTTTGACCGAAGATACGCCGGTAGCAACCGGGGGTGACCGAAGATAAGACGGTCTCGAGTCAAGTTGAGGAAATGCCAATGATCTTCAATGAAATTCGAGATGAAGGAATGACAGTTAGTGAGTCTTTCCAAGTGGCATCAATTATCCATTTATTGCCGCCGGCTTGGAAGGATTTCAAGAACTACCTTAAGCATAAGCGAAAGGAAATGAATCTGGAGCAGTTGATCCTCCGTCTGCGGATTGAAGAGGATAACCGGAAGAACGATGAAAAACTCCCAATCGTTACCAGCGCCAAGGCCAACGTGGTGGAGCATGCTAAAGGCTCCAAAAATAAAAATAATGGGAAGAGCAAGCTCGGTCCCAAGGGAGGCGTTTCCAAGACAAAGTTCAATGGAAAATGCTTCAATTGCAATAAAAACGGACACAGGTCCGCGGATTGCAAGGCATCCAAGAAGAAGATGGACTCTCAAGTGAACTTGGTGCAAGGTGGGCAAAAGGATGAAGACACCATCCTTGTGGATGTGGTGACCGAGGTCATCCTCGTTGGATCCAATTCCAAGGAGTGGTTCGTGGACACCGGTGCAACCCGACATATTTGCTAAAACCGGGAGTTATTCACTACATTTGAGCCATCAAATGGTGAGAAGGTGTGGATGGGAAACTCGGCTCATTCCGCGGTTGAAGGCGTGGCTAAGGTGGTCCTGAAGATGACTTCGGGTAAGGAGCTGACTCTCAACCAAGTGCTGTTCGTTCCGGATATACGCAAAAACCTGATCTCCGGCTCGTTGTTGAACAAGCATGGCTTCCGCATGGTCTTTGATTCGGACAAACTAGTATACATGTGATGGGCTGTTTAAGCTCAATGTAATGACTAATAATAATAATAATAATAATAATAATAATAAAATCCCTTCTGCTTTCTTGCTTGAGTCTTCTAATATGTGGCATGGTAGACTAGGACATCTTAATTTTAATTCTATACGTAGATTAATTAACATGGAGCAAATTCCTAAATTCACAATTGATGTGAAGCACAAATGTGAAGTTTGTGTAGAGGCAAAACTAACGAAAACGTCTTTCAAATCGGTTGAAAGAAAAACGGAACCACTTGAATTAATTCATAGTGACGTTTGTGATTTTAAATCAATACAAACACGTGACGGTAATAAATATTTTATTACTTTTATCGATGATAGCTGATAAGTCCATTTTTGTAATTATTTTTCTTATCAATTTTAAGTGATTTTGGATTGAAAAATAGAAAAACAACGAATGTTTTATATATTTTGGTTCAAGTTTCGTGAAATCAGGTAAAAATCACATCCATGATATGTTTGATGAAATTTCGGGTCAATTTAGCACAAAATGCGTCAATTTGAGTGACAAATGATATCATACCGAAAGAAGGAAGCACAATTTCAATGTGGTCCAGAAGGGAAAGTTGAAGAGCACAAAATACAGAACAAGACAGACAAAAAATCTCACAGGCGCCCAAATAGGCGCCCAGATTGGCCGCCTACCAGGCCGCCTACCGTTGTTTGAAAAAAAGTCAACATTTTTTGAAATTGGACCGGACCGGAGAAAAACCGAAGGCGGCCGACACTGGACAGAAGGTGGCTGCCTTCGATGACCGTCTGCGGCACAAGGCGACAAACCAACCACCGACCGGTGGGATTTGACGGCAGGCGGCCAGACAGGAACGGCAGGCGGCCGCCTGCTGGACCTCCTGCGGCGGATGAGGTGACCGGTGTCACGCCTGTCGGTGACATGACGGAAGGCGGCCGGGACAAGGCCAGAGGCGGCCGCCTGTTTGGCCGCCTACGAGATTTTTCGTGCTATAAATAGCCCGATTTTTGCTGAACTCAAACACACATCTTCCAACTCTAATTCAGTTCAAAAAGTTCCAGTTCTTCAGCCATTTCCGAGCTCCAAGGTCTTTTGGGAGAGAGAAACTTCAAATCTTCATATCTTCTTCATTTTAGCTTCAAATTGTAAGTTCTTTATATGTATTTTCATCCTCTCAACGAGTAGAATCTGAATCTGTACTTTTTTTTCTCGATCTGTTCTTCGAATTTTTCCAGAATATTTATCTAGTATTTCGCATTTTCTTCCATAAATTAAATAAAATAGTTGTTGATGTTGGATTCATTCCAATTAATTATATAGTTGTTTACTAGCCTCAAGGTTGTTATTTATCTGAAGAAAGTTAATTTTCACGAAGTACAAGTATTTTTTAATTAATTTCGGTAATTAGTTGTTATTATTGCATAAATTAAATTAATTACACAAAAATAGAAAAAAAATAGTCTCGGCCCTAATTCCAGTTTATTTCACTGTAATATCACCCCCAGTAGTTAATAGAAAATTTAGAAGGAATGTAGCCTATTTTTAATTGCCTTTTGTATTTTATAGTTAAAAGTGGGAAAATTATCAATTAATTGTTAAAATTGGATTTTAGGTTTGAAAATTCGTGAAAAAAATTCAGAAAGTCATATTGTAGTTCCATAAAGTTTATTTTGACAATATCTTATTTTTCTTTAATTTTTGCTATTATACATGTTTAATTCTTTGTTAATGTTTAATTTATTTACCATATTGTTGAATGTAAAAATAATGTTTAGTAGCTAAATTTTTTTTGGGCATGAGTTGAGTAAAGAAATATGGATTGACTTCTTAGCCTAAAATTAGGGGTTAAAATTAATTAATTGAGCTAGTTATTCAATTTGATGAATGAGTAATTAATAATTGTTAGCCAACTTTATTCAAGCACATTAATAAGGCCTAGAAATAGGATAATTTTAATGAAATGGATTTACATCTTGTCTATGAGAAATAAATTCAAATTGCTTAAATAATGAATTTAATAAGTTAAAGAATTTGGCTATTTTTATTAAATAAAATTTTGGAGAATTATTTCTGCCTTGTCTATGAGATTAGAATTTAATTCAAGCCAACCATTTTTTGAATACATTAATGAAACCTAGAAATAGGATAAATTAATAAAAGTAATTTCTATTCTTGTCTATGAGAAAAGAAATTATTAGTCCAATTTTAGTTTTAAATTCCCCTAATTACTAGGTCCAAGAATATATCCATTTTCTTACTCAATTCATTGCCCTTTGATAAGTCCATTTTTGTACTCATTTTTCTTATCAATTTTAAGCGATTTTGGATTGGAAAATAGAAAAACAAGACATGTTTTATATATTTTGGTTCAAGTTTCATGAAATCAGGTAAAAATAACGTCCATGATATGTTTGACGAAATTTCGGGTCAATTAAGCACAAAATGTGCCAACTTGAGTGAAAAATGATATCATACCGAAAGAAGCAAACGGAATTTCAAAGTGGTCCAGAAGGGAAAGTTGAAGAGCACAAAATACAGAACAAGATGGTCAAATAAACTCATAGGCGGCCTGGCAGGCGGCCAAAAAATGGAGGCCTGCGCGGCCGCCTGCCGTTTTTTTTTGAAAAATCAATTTTTTTTGAAATTTGACCGAACCGGAGAAAAACGGAAGGCGGCCGACAATGGACGGAAGGTGGCCGCCTTCGATGACCGCCTGCGGCACAAGACGACGAAACGAACAACCGGTCGGTACGATGTGACGGCAGGCGGCCGGAGCAAGGCGGCAGGCGGCCGCCTGTTTGGAGGCCTGCGAGATTTTTGGTGCTATAAATAGCCCGATTTTTGCTGAACTCAAATACACCATTCTTAGCCCGAAACTAGTTCAAAAAGGTCTTCTTCTTCCTCTTCAAAGCTCGGATTTCCACCATTGTTGCACCTTCAACTTCAATCTTTCATATCTTTTTCATTTTAGCTCCAATTTGTAAGTTCTTTATATGTATTTTCATCTTCTCAACTAGTAGAATCTGAATCTGTGCTTTGTTTTCTCGATCTGTTCTTCGAATTTGTCCAGAATATTTATCAAGTATTTCGCATTTTCTTCCAAAAATTAAATAAAATAGTTGTTGATGTTGAATTCATTCCAATTAATTATATAGTTTTTTAATAGCCTCAAGGTTGTTATTTATCTGAAGAAAGTTAATTTTTCCGAAGCAGAAGTAATTTTTAATTAATTTCAGTAATTAGTTATTATTATTGCATAAATTAAATTAATTACTTAAAAAGAGTAAAAAAATAGTTTCGGCCCTAATTCCAGTTTATTTCACTGTAATATCACTTCCAGTAGTCAATAGAAAATTTAGAACGAATTTAGCCTATTTTAATTGCCTTTTGTATTTTATAGTTAAAAGTGGGAAAATTATCAATTAGGGTTAAAATTGGATTTTAGGTTTAAAAATTCGTGAAAAATTCCAAAAAGTCATATTGTAGTTCCAGAAAGTTTATTTTGACAAGATCTTATTTTTGATTAATTTTTGCTATTATACATGTTTAATTCCTTGTTAATGGTTAATTTATTTACCATATTGTTAAATGCAAAAAATAATGTTTAGTAGCTAAAATTGTTTTGGGCATGAATTGAGTAAAAGAATATGGATTGACTTGTTAGCCGAAAATTAGGGGTTAAAATTAATTAATTGGGCTAGTTATTCAAATTGATGAATTAGTAATTAATAATTGTTAGCCATTTTCATTAATTAAATTTTGGAAAATTATTTCTAACTTGTCTATGAGATTAGAAAATAATTTGAGCCAACTTTATTCAAGCACATTAATAAGGCCTAGAAATAGGATATTTTAATGAAAGGGATTTACATCTTGTCTATGAGAAATAAATTGAAATTGCTTAAATAATGAGTTTAATTAGTTAATGAATTTGGCTACTTTTATTAATTAAAATATTGGAGAATTATTTCTGTCTTGTCTATGAGATTAGAATTTAATTCAAGCCAACCAATTTTGAATGCATTAATGAAACCTAGAAATAGGATAAATTAATGAAAGTAATTTCTATTCTTGTCTATGAGAAAGAAATTATTAGTCCAAATTTAGTTTTAATTCCCCTAATTACTGTGTCCAAGAATATATCCATTTCTAATTAGTCAATTCATTGACCTTCTTTGATCAATCCATTTAGTGTTTAATATTTTTCATTTAGTTTATTTTTGAGCCATCATTAGTATTTGCATAATTTAATTACTTTATTTTTCAAAACTAGTTTAGAAAATCAATCAAAAGTTTTAATTTGGAAAGCTTCCAATAATTTGTGATAACCTGTGACTGAATTTAAAATCAAGAAACTCCTCCGCCATTCCTCAAGAGACACGATACTCGGGGAAAAACCGAAAGGTTAGACTCCGTTTTACTACAACGCCGCGAAAGCGGTTATCACCCTTACTTGCCTCAATCTTTTCATTAATCTTTAAAATATTTGATCTTAAATCTTTAGTTGAAATTTGCTCCTAGTATAATTGTGCAAATTGGCCTAGTCTAGAACACAATCACTTTTTTTGTATTGAAAAAGCTTCCAACAATTAGCGATAGCCCGTGACTAAGACTAAATTAAGAAAACTCCTCCGCCATTCCTCAAGAGACACGATACTCGGGGAAAAACCAAAAGATTAAACTCCGTTTTACTACAAAGCCGTGAAAGCGGTCATCAAATGGCGCCGTTGCCGGGGATTGGCACGGTAATTTCTTAATATAATTCTAGCATAGGTGAATTCTAGTTATGGAGACTTTTTCGCACTTGCGACATTTGTATAAAGATTTCAGGATAAATGAATGCACACCCACTCTAAAGGAGTGGAAGGGCTACTTGAACTTAATCCTGAACCTGAACGAACTTTGTGGAAAAATCTTTTGATCCACAAGAAACCAATCATGACAGACCAAAAGACAGTGCTGCAAAACCTCACGCCAAGCTTCATCGAGGATGATAGCATAAGCGCACCAACAATAGAGGCGGCCAACTTCGAGATAAAACCCGCCATTATCAACATGATGTCTAATCATCAATTTGGTGG